TTTTTTTTTTTTAAATATTATATTTTTTAAAAAAAAAAATTTTTTTTGGGTTTTTTTTTTTTTTTTTTTTTTTTTTTTTTTTTTTTTTTTTTTGGTGGGGGGGGGGGGGGGTAGGGGTTTGAATGTGTGGTGTTGGCTGGGGTCGAAATGTTAAGAAGAATATATCCTGTACAGTACCACCAGTAGCGTAGCCGAGATTTTGGAGGCATAGGTTGGTGATAACATTCTAATGGTATTGTCTGAAAGATGACAGAAAGACTTTGCTATCTTTAATTTGTGCACAGCTGTAGTCTTGTGCTTTTTGTTTCGTGATTGTTTAAAAAGGTTGAAAATAACATTTTGAATAACTCCTGGTAAACCCTGGTAAATTCTCATTTACTGATTCTGAATTTGCAACGTTGCTGCAACCAACTACTGGCACACGTGCAACGGTTTGGGAAACGATGCGGCCATCCTAACGGCTCCTAGCGGGTGCCAGGGCAGCCTTGAAACTCTCGATTGATGTCGAGTCCATGGCGGCTTTGTCCAGCTGGTTCCACGCAATTATTGTGCGTGGGAAGAATGCTTTTTTTTTGTTTTGAACTGTGTTACACCGAGGCACACAGTGAAGCATTCACTATTGTTCCGGATGTAGCTGTTCATGGAGCTGTCAGAGGTGCAGTCAGAGTTCATTGAGTGTTTGGCTCTGATTAAGCGACCTGGCTTCTGATACGTGTTAGCTGGAATGGCCAGCACTAGCCCCGTGACCACTTTCTATAAACCCTAGTAAATAAATTCTGGTATTTTGCACCTGGTTTCTTCTAATTTACTCTACTAATATTTTGGGATGTTTAGTAAAAAAATATTTTTATTTCAAAAAGCAGATGGACCTGATTGCCTGTGTACTAGCCAGCACGTACTTCTATAATAAAAAATACTCTGTTGATATTTCATTTATTAAAATGGTATTAATACAATCAAACCCTGGAATATGTTTTAGTAAAGTTTCAGAACTACCATTAGGTTTCATCTTCAAGAAATGGAGGATTTTTTAATGTTTAAAAAAAATGTTTTAAAAACATAGCAAAGCTATAATGTAGTGTCGTCAAACCTTCAGTTGTGTACCGAAAAAGGGCTGGGATCTCAAGGGTTTGTATATTGATGATTGCAGCAATAGTCAAAGGACCTTAGTTTGTAAGAAGAACTTTGAAAATATTTCATTAGAATTAGAAACCGTATGCATAAAGTTGAAGGTCGCATGGCATTGGAGATCTAATGTCCTTTCAGTTTCATAAGTCATTAGTCAATAGATAAAGTGAATCCTTCTTATCATTATTACTAGCGCTGACCATTAAAATCCAATCTATTGAATCTGTCGGTGGCAGGTGTTGCCGTTCAGTTGAAGTCTACGTTTGATAACTTCGGCGATGGCTTTCTCTATTTTATTTCCTTTTGTTTCTTTTTGTCTTGAAGTTAAAGAACAAATGAGCTTACTACCTTCAGGATTTGCAATCCATTAACACACAATCGTTATCTGTGTACACACATTTTGGCTTCCTGTGTCAAGAATATGTCTGAGTAGGTCACGTTGTGTTATATTGGGAAATCCCAAATTTATTTATTTATTTATTTAGGCATTTTTATATAGCGCTTATCATAAAGCTCTAAGCGCTTTACAATTATTAAAACATGTAAACTAAGTAAATACAATGAGACACTAGGATAGTAACTACTATACTAAAGAAACAATGAAAATGGCTATAAAACGAGGACACTTTGACACTTCAGGATCAACCCGAAACAGAAAATGATGCTCAATCATGCTCAATTTGTTTTTTCTTTTTTTTTTTTCATTTAAGAATGTAGGCGAAAATTCTATTTTTAAAAAGGTCCTTTTTTATTTCAACATAAAATTATTTTTTTAAAGAAACCAAGCTATGGACTAACTAACCAACATGTTCTGATGGGGGCTGGGGCATACGCTCTGAGAACAAACGCTAGTACATGGGAAACCAGGTCCAGCTGCTGGGCTGTGCCGGCTAGTACACGGGCAACCCGTTCCATCTGATGGGCTGTGCCGGCTAGTACATAGGCAAAAAGTTCCATCTGTTGGGCTGTGCCGACTAGTACACGGGCAACCCGTTCCATCTGATGGGCTGTGCCGGCTAGTACACGGGCAACCCGTTTCATCCCCTGGGCTGTGCCGTTATAACATTGTCGTGACGTAGGACTCTCCCGCAGCCCTGGCCTTCACCGCAACATCTCGTGCTGGGCGTTGTCAGTCAACAGACGGGCTATGGTCTAGAGCCACGGTGCTTTGGCTGTCGAATGTCACACGACCCTTTCTGGGGGGGGGGGGGGCCCACCAC